TTTCACTTTACAGAACAAGAAGTTACAAAACATGATTTATTTGTTAGTTATTGTTATAGAAAAGTCCAGAAATCATTCTAGAAGGGCACATCATGAACATAAATGGAGTACCTTCTGTTCTATACTTCTCAGGTATAACTTGCAATACATATAAGTTATTTTCACATATAACAAAACTATACCAAGCTATACCATAAAATCATCTTCAGTCATACCAGTTATTTCTCTCTTTCTCTCTGTCTTTGTCTCTGTCTCTGTGTCAGTCAGTTTCCCCATTGGTACTTTTTGCCAAGATTGTTAAATCCAGATAGATCTTGATTTCTAGTATCCCAAACATGAGTTGTAAGTTGTGTAGCGGTCACTAAGAAGAAAAATAGTTTATTTATGCAACAATTTTTCATCTGTTTTCTTCCACATTTAATATTTTTGAAAGAATATTTATCAATTTTTGGGGTCACACGCTTTCCTCTTCATTTCCCTATAAAATTTTGGAAGGAAAAGGATAGTTTAGAGGGCAATTCCACCAAGAGTTCTTGCTGTTAACTGTTGATTCCACCAGCTAGCTATGCTGTATCCATAAAGTCAAAACTCCTCCAATTTTTTTGATTTTTTCCCCCCATAGAAATTATTAGTAGAAGATTTTCGCGAGCTGCTGTCCACTGTTAAAAAGATGGGACTCTTGAAGCCAAACCAATTCTTCTTTTTCCTGACCTTACTGCATATTTTACTGCTGGATGCTGCTGGCTGGTTTGTGTTGTGGTATTTTGGGATATCTATGAACTCTTTTCTTATTGCCACAGTGTTGCTGACCTTTGCTCAGGTAATATTCTTGCCTTTATTTTTAGGCAAAATTGCATTTTCCATTAGATGGGCTTCCTACCACAGAATGTCTTTCAGCCAAATTAAAATAATTTCTTTATAAGGAAAATAACCCATATTCAATTGCCATGGGCCTTGAGAAGATTGCATTCAATTGTTTGGAGAAATAAGGGTGGAAGAAGACTAAGCAATTCAGTTAGATAAAAAGGCCACTTCTGTTTTGCCCAGGATATTGGAGGCTTTTAAGAACAGTCTGGACATTTATCTTAGAAGACATGCAAGGTCCCTTCCAACTCTGTTATTCTATGTTCTATGATGCCATGTCATCTTACATATCAAACCTCCCATTCTGAAGGATAGTAAGTAGTGAAACAAGAATAGAGCATTAAAAAGCAACCATGTCTTCTCACTGTCTATCACAAAATATCAGATAAATTTGTGGAAGATATCTGTGGTTATATTGTAGAATTGCTTTCTTGTGCATATTCTGTTTGGAAAGTTGCTCTGGGTGGCTGTCCCTTTGATTGAATAAAAAAAAAAATCCTAGAATGAATGAACCCTTATTTTATCTATCCCAGCAGTTCTTGCATAACTATTACAAATACCATTGGATATAAGTTGTAGGAGTGACACAAAAGGTGGTCCTTCTGTTGTGAATCACCCTTTTCTTTCAGTCTCAAGCAGGCTGGCTACAACATGATTTGGGACATCTTTCAGTCTTCAGTGAGCCAAAATGGAACCATCTTTTTCAGGAATTTGTGATGTGCCATTTAAAGGTAAGTAAGGTATATTATTCTTAGAATGTTCCACAGAATTGAAGGGAAAGAATATGGAATATTGCAAATATACATGAAAAAGTTTCATGAGTAAATATCAAGTGTGTTGTGTTATTTATAACAGAGATGTCAAATGGGATTCTCATTTTCACATTCCCATACAAAGAATACAAAAGTTCTCTGATGTTAAATCGAACGATTTGTTTGTCTATGTCATTATTAACTGCAGACCAAGAATGGAATTTCACTTGTAATAAACAAGATGTATGTGTAAATTAACCAAAAGTGAATCCCAATTTAAGATCAGAAGATGGCAAGACCTGTTTCATATAGGAGATCTGAGATCAAGATCATGTTAAATAAATTCAAGAAAGTTGTGTTTTTGATTTGAATGGGAAAGCATCAAAATGCCTATAACTGTTTCATTTGGGGTACAGAATAAAATGAAAATAACAGAGATAATAGACACCTTTGAGGGTATCAACACTGCAAAGATTGAATGAAAAGACTGAAAGAATAGAATGGAATGGAATGGAATGGAATAGCATAGCATAGCATAGCATAGCATAGCATAGCATAGCATAGCAT